AGAACCACAGCCTTGGGACCCACTCATTCTGACGCCCAACCCCATCCTGCCAGCTGTCAGGATACTTGGTCCCGGTTATGACTGGAGCCCCTTCCCTGTCCAGGGGCCCCCCCAATTGGGGCAAGAGTGTGTGATGCCGTTAACCTTGGCAAGAGCACCTATCTGCTGTCTGTCATGGGTGTCGTCGGTGTCCTCACTGTGGTCACCTGCGCACAGCAGCTCTCCTCTCATCCTCCACCCCATCGCATCTCTCGGGATAGGCCTGAGAGCCAGGCTGGGGAGTCCCTTGGTCTCTGACCCCCGCCAGCTCAGGAAGCCGACACTCCTCTCCGTTCCAGTCAAAGCCAGGAGGTGGCTGCGGAGCTGCGAAGGGCTGTCCACCTGGCAGTGTATGTTGGTGAACTGAATGGCTGTGACAGACGGGAGTCAGGACACCCTCAAAGTGGCCAGCCTGAACACGCCCACGAATGGTGAGGCCACGGGTGAGAGGGGAGTCGAGGGAGAAACAACTTGGGGCAGAATGTCAGGCGCTCTGGTTTGAACGCATTGGGAGGCTGTTGGCCTTCCTGGTGAGGCAGCTGGGTGGACAGTCTGGGACTTGGGTGCAAGATCTGAGCGGGAGTTGGAAGTGTGGGGGTCATGGAGACGATATTTATAGCCACTGGACTGCCTGAGCTCACCCCGGGAGGCAGGGTGGATGGCCAGGTCTCTGGCTGGGCTCTGGGCTCCCTGAATAATTTATGGGATAATAATTACCACCGCTTTATTCCTTGAAGCATCTGGCGCAGTGCCTGGCTCTCCATAGAAGTTCTCGAATTGAGCAGAACTCTATGGCCCTTCATTTCCCACACGTTTTCCCTGCGAGTCGGGGCTCAGATGGTCTTAGCGGGAGAGCAGGAGGTTAGAATCATTCAGTTAAATGGGGAATGAAATATCCTTTAGGAATTTCTCAGAATCAGAAGGGAACTTTGCCCTCAAATTCCCACTCCAATAGTAAAATTCTTTTTTATTTATTTATTTTTATTTATTAAATTAGTAATAGTAAAGTTCTTGTAAAAACAAAAATTCCATGTGCTGCAGATCCCAGGAGTCAGAGCTACGAGCGCCCCCCGCCCCCTCCACACACACACACACCTCCACTCCTTAACCGCACGCTAAGCTCCCCGAGGCCCAGATGTTTTATCTTTGTGATATTGGGGGAACCTGACAACGGGAAGTTCGCTCAGCAGAGAACTGGCGCAGCAGTGAGCCCTGCGGTCTGTCACTCGCTCAGGATGCTGCCTGGACACACACTGCCCTCCCCACCTCGCTCCCGCCCGTGAGCACGGCGCTGGGGCAGCAGCATGAGTCACTTGAACCCTGACGCCCAGGACGCCTTCTGTGGAGCCGCTGCTTGTGTCCAGGGAGCCGGGCAAGGGGACCCTGCCCCCTGCCCAGCCAGGGGCTCCGAGTTCGCCAGCCATCTGGAGAAGCCCGGTCGGTGGGAATGATGAGAGGTGGCTTTACCGTGACACTGATTCGCTGAAGCTTTAGGGTCTCCCATCTGCATCCCTTCTGAAGCTCAGACCTTGTTTACTAATTTGCATTTTTTTTTTTTTTTTCTGAAAGCGGGCTCTCACATTTTTGTAAGCATCAGGCCTGACAGGACTTGAGTTTGGGTTATTTTGTTTAATCCCCGTAGTAACGTTGGGAAGTCACTGGCACTTCATTATCCCTCTGCAGACAAGGTCATAACGCATAGAAAAGCCATCTTTTTTATGGGTTCCTTGGAAATTCCACACTTGTTTCAGCGCCTGCACCTTGTTATCCTTCCTGGAACCCTGGCGCTGACTGGCTTCTCCTCCCCTCAGGTCCCAGGCCTTCTCTACGCACCACCTTTAGGGGCTCCTTCCTTTCCTGCCTCCCTGGTTATCCTCTATCCCTTACCGTTTGCTTTCCTTAGAAGTCTAGAATTATCTTCATCTGTGCATTTATTTTTAAATATATATTTATTTTTGTATTGATTTTAGAGAAGGAGAGGGAGACAGAAACATCAATAATGAGAATCATTGATCGGCTGCCTCCTACAAGCCCCCTACTGGGGATCGGGCCTGACACCAGGGCATGTGCTCCGACCAGAAATCAAACCGTGATCTCCTGGTTCATATATGGATGCTCAACCACTGAGCCACACTGGCCCGGCTGTGTGTTTATTTTTCTGTAACAAATGCAGATAGTGCTTACTCTGTCATCAGGCACTGTTCCACTTGCTTTACAAATATCAGCTCATTTAATCCTCACAACTAATCTGACACTGAAACTTTTTCATCCCGGCTTTAAAATGGAAGAAACCGAAGCACAGAGAGGTCAAGTAGGTTGCTCAAAGTCACACAGCTGCTGAGTTTAAGTATCACCTGGCTCCCATTAAAGACAGAGCCTTGTCAAAATCTGTTGGGCTCAGTGGATAGAGCATTGGCCTGCGGACTGAAAGCTCCCAGGTTTGATTCCGGTCAAGGGCACGTACCTTGGTTGCGGGCATATCCTCAGTGGGGGGTGTGCAGGAGGCAGCTGATCGATGATTCTCTCATCGATGTTTCTAATTCTCTACCCCTCTCTCTTCCTCTCTGTAAAAACGCAATAAAATATATATTTTTTTAAAAAGACAGAGCCATGTGAGAAGTCGGGCCAGTGGGCTGCCTTTGTTATTGCTCAGCCCCTGCACGCAGAGCGCCACTCATAATAAAAGCCGTGTGGGAGGTAAGGCAGGTCACAGAGAAGAACAGCAAAGGAGCCTGGAGACAAGCTGGGGGTGGGGGGGAGGCTGGGAAAGGCCACCGGAGACAGGAAGGGCCGGCCTTAGGAACAGCAGTGGATTAGCCAGTGTGGTGGTCTGAAGAAAGTGCCCAGAAAGGAAGGGTCTTGTTGACAAATTTATCCAATGAATGAGGCCAAAAGCCTCGGAGCCATCTCCTTCCTTCACGTCTGTGTCCAAGGCATCCACAGGTCCTGGCGGCTCCTCCAAAGTGCATCTGGACACAATTCTCGGCCCTCCTTTGCTCCCCCTCCCCCCAGCCGCCGCCACAGCCCTCCCAGCCCTCCCACCCCCCCACCCCCCTGCCCTCTTCATCTGCACAGCAGCTAGAAGGAGCTGATGAAATGAATTGGATCCTGTCACTCTTCTGCTCAAAATCTGCCGGCATATCCCACGGTGAACACCTGCAGGACTGGCCCCTCCTGCCTCTTCCCTGCTCCCTCCACCCCGGCTACCCCAAGGCAGCAGCTGCCCCAGGACATCAGCACGGCTGTTCCCTCTGCCTACAACGTTCTTCGCATGGAGGTTTGCTCTGGCCCCTCACCCAGCGCCCCTGGCATCCTGACCCCGACACGTTTCTCTCCTGCACTCATGCAGACACACAACACAAACTTCTACGTTCGTCTCTGCTAACACAGACATCATGAAACCAGATTTGTGTCCGTGTTTTTTTTAATATATTTTATTGATTTTGTACAGAGAGGAAGGGAGAGATATAGAGTTAGAAACATCAATGCGAGAGAGTCATCGATCAGCTGCCTCTTGCACACCCCCTACTGGGGATGTGCCCGCAACCAAGGTATCATACCTGCCCTTGACCGGAATCGAACCCGGGACCTTTCAGTCCCCAAGCCGACGCTCTATCCATTGAGCCAAACCGGTCTCGGCAGATTTGTGTCCGTGTTGTTGACTGCATCACCCCAGTGTCCACAATCACTGTGGGCATCGGAGGACAGTACAGCCCCGGGGAGGGAGGGCATTAGCCAAAGGGGACGGCAATCAAGCCGGACCCAGGGCCCCTCTCCAGGCCCCGGTGCTCCATGAACTACGCTCAGGTCCGGGCGTAGAAATCGGCATTTCAGCCCGTTCTTCCCCCCTAAGCCTCCTGGCGCCTCCCTCGGCGCCTGCTCTGCCTCCGGCAGGTGGGCTGCGGGTCCAGCGCCGCCAGGCCGCCGCCGGGGGTCAGCACCGCTGCGGCCTTTGTGCCTTCACCCCTTTACGTGCGAAGCGGGGGCGGGAGCCCCCTTCAGTGGGTGCTGCACTGCCCGGGGGGCTCCCTGGCCTTCGGTGACCACCCCTTTGCCCTGGAAGTTCGGAGGGGACACGGCGGCCACCGGCCCGGCCAGCGTGAGGCCCCGGGTCTGTCCGAGCCCGGCCGCAGCCCTTCCCGCCGCCTGTACTTTTGAACGTTCGGAACCGGACAGTTGGGATCCGGGTAAGGGTCGCCCCTGACGCTCACCCTCACCACGGGGACCCCCGAGAGCCCGACGCTCGGGCGAGAGACTGGGGTTCTCTGCGCTGGGGAGGCGCGAGTCATAGGTTAGACCGCAGCGGCCGGAGACGGGAAGCGGCCCGGAACCCAGGCGCACCCCCCCCCCCCCCCCCCCCCGGCCTCCGGCCGCCGGAGCCACAGCGGCAGAGAGCGGCTGTCGCTACCGACTCCCACAAACCCCCGCAGCCCCTAGAAGGGCAGCGGTGGGAGCCTATCAGCGCCAAGTGTTGGCAACTCTCCGCCCAATGGGACTTTTTTTCCCCCCCATCTGAAGGCGTTTCTGTCATGAAGTCTGTCAGCCCAATGGGAAATGTGGAAATTTCCAGAAAGACCAGGACCAATAGGCGCGGTCGGCGCGGCCACGATTAGCGGAGCAAATAACCAATCGCTGTCCCAGATTTCTGGCCAGCCCTCCAATCGGGCAGACTAAGGTGGGCGGGATCTATTTGGGAGCGCCCAATCCTGAGGCGCCTTGGAGGCAGGGCCAAGGAGATTGCTCCCTGCTGTCCAATGAAAGAGGAGCGAAGGTGATGGGCTAGACTTTCAGCCAATAGTAACGAAGCGTAGAAAGCCCTTAGAGGAGCGTGACCAGTGAGCAGACGAGGAAGGGGCGGGATCCCGGGGTCCCGGCAGCTTCTAGTAGGTTCCAGAAGGCGGCGCGTGCGGTTGGGAACGCGGAGCCGACGGAGTCAATTCTGCCGGGTTCCGGACTGGGCTATGGAGCAGGTGAAGAAGGAGGGGCGGGCTGAGGCCCGAGGGCCGCTCGGGGACCGGACCAGGCCGGGCCGCGGGCGGAGAGGCCGGGCGGGCACCCGAACCGGGCGGAGGGCTGGGCGGGCGGAGCAGCGGGAAAGGCGAGGGCGTGAGGGCCGCGGGCGGCGAGCGGTAGAGCGAGGCCGGGCCGCGGGGAGCGCCGGGTCCCCTCAGTGTCGGTCGCCTCCCGACTCGGCGAGGAGAGCTGAGGGGAGACGACAGTTCGGCGTGAGTCCGGCCCGCCCGCCGCGGCATGAGGGGCCTGCGGCCGGGCCCCGGAGGCCTCCGGGGAAGGGGCTCTGGGCTAGGCGGCGGGTGGGAGGGATGGAGGTGGGCCAGAGGCTCGGAGGAGGGACGAGGGGTCGGGTCTACACCGGGGAATTCGGCTTCTGGGAGAGAGGAGAGAATGCCGGCGGAGGGGCCGCCCGGGACTCGGCCGCAGTTAACTTGGAGGCAGGCGGGCGGCGGGGACGGGCCCGCTGGAAGGAGCCGAGGGCCGCGGTAGCCATTGGGGGAGATAGGCCGTTTCTCGGTGTCAGAGCCGGGATGGAAGAGCGCGGAGCGAGCGCCTGACGAGCAGCAGGCCGGCCGCCTCGCCGGTGCGGGGAGGAGGCGCAGCAGAAGTCCTTGGAACGGACGCCGCTTCGCCCGGGTTTCCAGCCCCGTGTGCGGCCCTCCCCTCCCCGCCCTGTCCCCCCGGTGTGATTCCGGAGTAACCGGGGACGGACACTTCGGGAAGGTCGGTTTCTAATTACACAGGCGGAGGGCGTCGCTGTGGAGAATTTAGATGCCGGACATGAGCAGCTCGAAGGCAGGGATTTGCCTCTCTGCTCGGCCTTGGGAAGGGGTGGGGGTTGAAGCCGGTTGTGTCCGATGCCTGCCTTCCATCGTCAGAGCCGAACCTTTTGCTGTAGCCATTGTTCCTTGGGTCAAATCTGGAGTCTCTCTGCTACATTGGAACAGGAAAATTAAAGCGGAATGGAGACGTTTCACTTTGTTCACCCTGGTGGTAATGAAATTCTGTCCGGGAATAAGATTTCTGGAATGAGAAGCACATCATTCTGTTAAATTTTAAAAAGTTTTGTTTTGCCCTAGCTGGTTTGGCTCAGTGGATAGAGCGGCAACCTGCGGACTCAAGGGTCCGGGGTTCGATTCCAATCAAGGGCACATCCCCAGTGTTGGGCGTGCAGAAGGCAGGCAGCCCATCAATGATTCTCTTTCATCATTGATGTTTCTATCTTTCTATCCCTCTCTTCCTCTCTGAAATTGATAAAAAATATTTTTTTAAGTTTTCTTTTTCCTGCGTTTACCAAAGTAAAATGGGCTTTTTTGAAGGGAGAGGGGGAATAAAATCACGCTGCCATTTACAGAAGTTTATGTACAGGTAGATTGTAAATGAATGCCTGACTAAACGTGGGATTACAGATATACCCTGGCAATTGTGCAATGGCTTTTTTTTTTTTTTTAATCTTTTTTTATTGGCATGTGCCCTGACCAGGGATCAAACCCACAACCTTGGCATATTAGAATGATGTTCTAAACAACTGAGCTACCCAGCTAGGGCTTGACCTGGCATCTTAGTTCCAGGTGTTAGAACCTATTGTCTGGCTTAGTTCAGTGGCTGGACTCAGTGGGTGAGTGTGAACCTGAGAACCAGGAGGTCACTTCGATTCCCTGTCCGGACACAGACCCAGGGTGCAGGCTCTGTACCCAGTGTGGGTGTGCAGGAGGCAACCAATCAATTCTCTCATTGATGTTTCCATCTCTCTTTCCCTTCCTCTCTGAACTGAATAAAAATGTTTGTTTGTTTGTTTGTTTGTTTGTTTGTTTGTTTTAAATAAAATCTATTGTCTTAAACCCACTCCTAAAAATAAATGTGATTTCTCCATCTTTTTTCATTTTCAACTTTGAGGTTCACATATCAATTTTAGGGAAATTTGAGTGTCCAAAATTGTATTAAATAAGTAACTTCCTTTCAAATAAATTCTAGTGATACTCTTTTTACATTTAACCCAATACATACATACAACCATTTAATACATTTAACAAAACAGTACTTAATGCTATGTGGACTACATGATGGTATTTTCTGTTCTACTTGATCTTTTCAAGTGCTGATCATGACCTATAAACTTTATTTCCTGGCTGACTACGTTTGGAAAATGATGGTGTATAGAATAGGCAATAACCTCACTGAGCTGCTGCTTCTAGCTACTTCTTGTTACTAGTTGAGTTGAGGTTTTTAACTTTGGGCCTCCATCCTGGGTTCTAAGATTTTTGTCCCTTGTTTGCTTAAATTTAGTGTCTCCTGCCTTTTTTCACTTTGAGATTCTCTAAATTCCTTCTGATGGAGGTTCCCAACTGGTGTGCCTCAGAGTTCCAAAATCATTTCCCCTAACAGAATTCTTCATTGCATCTGTACACAGGGTCTTGGTGGGTGATGGGTGAAAAGAAAGAATGATATAGTGATGAAGGACAGCTTTAGCTCAGTGGATGTGTTTCATTTAAGATGCAGTCCTCCCTTTCTGTAGGCCCCTGCTCTGAAAACCAAGGCCCACTCACTCATTGAAACCTTTAATGGTCTCCTGCTCCTTCCATTCTGTATGTGTGAGAGGAGGGGATTCAACTGCCAGTAGTGTTTTTATCCTCTTCGTAACATGTTAATATTTAAGATAGCAAAAACTGATTTGGGACTGGCTTTACCTGTTAAAGAACAAAAAACATTCATCTACCGTGTGGTGGTAGAATGCCACACTGTCAATGGACATGTGTAGGTTTTTCTGATCAGGGAGAGCATCTCGGGGCTCCTGGAGAACCTCCTACCGCCTCTAGTGCACACTCCTCCGCCTCCTTCCTAGTGGCCTCTGTGCGGAGTGGCCAGGCCTGTGCTCAGGTCATCGTTGGGACTCGGGAAAGCTGCAACTGAGTTGGTTTTTACATGACAGCGACTCAGGAGTACCCCTAGAGTGGCTCCATCAGCTCCAGGTAGAGACTCGGAAGAGTGGCTAGAGTTCTTATCAAAACACCTGGGAGCTAGTGGAGAGCAACTGTCAGGCTTCTACCTGGTGGTTTTTCTCTTGCTGGGAAGTAAAAATGAATTAATCTAGGAGTTCTCTCTTCTGATCTGTAAAGTAACCTTTTGTTTGTAACTGCAGCAAAGAATGAGCATCACCTAAGCATTGGGACTAAATACACATTGTTCTCCTTTCCTCCTCAGGTAAATGAGCTAAAAGAGAAGGGCAATAAGGCCCTGAGTGCCGGCAACATCAACGATGCATTGCAATGCTATTCCGAAGCAATTAAGTTAGATCCCCACAACCACGTGCTCTACAGCAACCGCTCAGCAGCCTACGCCAAGAAAGGAGACTACCAGAAGGCCTACGAAGATGGTTGCAAAACTGTTGACTTGAAGCCTGACTGGGGCAAGGTAAGCTGTTGGTTGAGTTGGGGTTCTTTGGGCTCCCCAGAAATGCCTTTTGGGGTGCAGTTCTTAAGTATCATGCCCTCCTGCCCTGGTTCATTGCTAGCCCAATAGACTAGTATAGTAATTTATTACCCATTTAAAGTATATTCCTCAGAGTAATAGCATATTTCATCACATCTATTGAGGTACTGTCAATTGTTAAGTCATGTCTTATTTTTTTGAACTACTGAGAAAGAAAATGCTGCCTAAGAAACTGGCAACACTTGATCATAAGATGAATTGGGCTCTAACGGGTTTGGCTCAGGAGATAGAGCCTCAGCCCGCAAACTGAAGAAGGGTCCCAGGTTGGATTCCTGTCAAGGGCATGTACTTTGATTGCAGGCTCGATCCCCAATAGGGGGCGTGCAGGAGGCAGCTGATTGGTGTTTCTCATCAATGTTTCTAACTCTATCCCTCTCCCTTTTTCTCTGTAAAAATCAATAAAATACTTTAAAAAAATAAATAAATAAATAAATAAAAAAGATGAATTGGGCCGAAACTGGTTTGACTCAGTAGATAGAGCATCGGTCTGCGGACTGAAAGGTCCCGGGTTCGATTCTGGTCAAGGCCATGTACCTTGATTGCGGGCACATCCCTGGTAGGGGGTGTGCAGGAGGAAGCTGGTCCATGTTTCTCTCTCGATGTTTCTAGCTCTCTCCCTTTTTTTTTCGGTAAAAAAATCAATAAAATATATTTTTTTTAAAAATGAATTGGGTGGATAAGGTGTGCCTCTTTGAAAGTTGGCTGGATTCTTAGTGTCCATCATGGCATTATATCCTGCTCCTCTTCCTGGTTTTTGCTTTTGTTTTTCCTTCACGCGAATGCCTATTTTGTTCCATGAAATGTGAAATAGATTCATAGATTCCTTTGAATTCACCTTCTGGATTTACCTCTGAGTCATGCATCTCTTGTTTGTTTGTTTGCTTTTTTGTGTGTGTGTTTGTTTTTTTAATATTTTTATTGATTTCAGAGAGGAAGGGAGAAGGGGGGAGAGATAGAAACTTCAAGGATGAGAGAGAATCATTGATTGGCGCCTCCTACTAGACCAACACTGGGGATCAAGCTCACAGCCTGGGCATGTGCCCCGACTGAGAATTGGACTGTGACTTCCTCGTTCATAGGTTGATGCCCAACCACTAAACCATGCCAGCTGAGCTGGTCATGCATCTTTTTTTAAAAAAACCTCATCGAGGATATTTTTCCATTGATTTTTACAGAGAGGGAAAGACAGAGAGAAATATCAGTGTGAGAGAATCACATCTATTGGTTGCTCCTGTATGGACTCTGACCAGGGCCCAGGTTGGGGAGAAGCCTGCAACCAAGGTATGTGCCCTTGATCCACAGGCCAATGCTCTATCCATTGAGCAAAACAGGCTAAGGCTGATCATGCATCGCAACAGGGATACATTCTGAGAACTAAGTCATTAGATGATTCCATTGTTGTGTATCACAGTGCACCTACACAAACCAGGAGGGTCGGACCTGCACAGCTAGGCTGTATGTCTAGCCCAGAGGTCAACAAACCATGACTCAAGAGCCACATGCGGCTCTTTGGCCCCTTGAGTGTGGCTCTTCCACAAAATACCATGTATGGTGAGATTGAAACGTCGTGTCCCATGTGCAGAAGTTGATTTTTGGCCTGGGTGAGTCTCATTTTGAAGTGGGGGTGTCGGTCGCATGTGGCTCACGAGCCGCAGTTTGCCAATCACTGGTCTAGCCTATACTCCTAGGCTACAAACCTAAACCTACTGTACCGAATACTCTAGATATCGGTAACGGAATGGAAAAAATAAAAAATGGTGCATATGTACAGGGCATTTCCCACAGATGGAGCCTGCAGGAGTGGAAGTTGCTCAGAGTGAGTCAGTGCATGCAGGTGAATGGATGTGAAGGCCTAGGACTTCCTGTCCACCACTGTAGATTTTATATACACTGTACACTTAGGCTACATTCAATTTACTTAAGAAATAGCAAAATAGCAAAACATTGCCCTACCACTTTAGGATGACTACAGTGTCGCTAGGTGATAGGAATTTTTTAACTTTATTAGAATTTATGAGACCAATGTCATAGGTGCAGTTCGTCATTAACCATAATGTTTTTATGTGGCCCATGACTGAATTTTGTGCCTGCCTGTGCTGATTTAAGGGCTATTCTCGAAAAGCAGCGGCTCTTGAGTTTTTGAACCGATTTGAAGAAGCCAAGCAAACCTATGAGGAGGGTTTAAAACATGAAGCAAATAACCCGCAGCTCAAAGAGGGCTTACAGAATATGGAGGCTCGATTGGCAGGTAAGCGCCACGTACATTGTCACTTTCCTTTTTTTTCAATTATCTTTAAAGAGGGATTGATTTTGAGGCTTTCCCCCCCTGAAATGTCAGTAAGCTGTAGGGGCACAGTAACTGGAGTGAACTGATGCTCTTTCCTTTGTTTGGAACAGAGAGAAAATTCATGAACCCTTTCAACATGCCCAATCTATACCAGAAGTTGGAGGGTGACCCCAGGACAAGGGCACTGCTCAATGATCCTTCCTACCGGGCGCTGATAGAGCAACTGCGGAGCAAGCCATCCGATCTGGGCACGTAAGTTCAGGCAGCATGGTTTAAATCTGCGAGTGGATGTGAACTTGCTGTTTTCTTCCTGCATCCTACGGGAGGGGTTCCCTCGATCCCATTGCAGGATTTCTGCCTTTGCTTTTTCTCCCAACGAGCAGTAGGAAGTGTTGGTTTTTCATTTGTTTGTATTTCTAGAAAGGGTTGCAGAGCATAAAGCAGTATAATCTGGAATGTTCATTCTAACCCTCACATGCCTCTTCACTGCTCTCCTACAACTCTGATCTGGCACCATCTACATCTCCTTTCCATAGATGTAAGCCCTGCTGTTTTTGTTGGTATATCAAAGTGGATACTCAAGGTTAAAAAGAATGTCAGGCCCTGGCCAGTGTGGCTCAGTTGGTTGGGTGTTGTTCCATGCACCGAAAGGTTGCTAATTCCATTCCCGGTCAGGGGCATGCAGGAGGCAGATGATGGATGTCTCACTCTCACATGGATGTTACTATATTCTTCACCTTTCCTCTCTCTAAAAGTCAAAATAATATTTATTTTTAAAGAAAAAGATCAACCTATGAACTAGGTCACCGAAACCCGTTTGGCTCAGTGGTAGAGCGTCAGTCTGCGGACTTAAGGGTCCCGGGTTCGATTCCAGTCAAGGGCATGTACCTTGGTTGCGGGCATATCCCCGGTAGGGGGTGTGCAAGAGGCAGCTGGTCAATGTTTCTCTCTCATCGACGTTTCTAGCTCTCTCTTCCTCTCTGTAAAAAATCAATAAAATATATTATTTTAAAAAAAACACAAAAAACCCTAGGAGGTCATGGTTCGATTCCCGGTCAGGGTACGTGCCTGAGTTACAGGCTTGATCCCCTGTGTGGGGCATGCAGAGGCAGCCAATCAATGGTTCTCTTTCATCATTGATGTTTCCATCTTTCTCTCCCTCTCCTTCCCTCTCTGAAATCAATAAAGATATATTTGAAAAAGAATGTAAGGTGTAAAGATCTCTAAATCTTATACTGGTGTGTCTCTGAATTCCTCTGACTTCTTAAGTCACATGAAGTATACATAAACAAATTTCTGCTGACTCAAGAAATAAATCTACCTCTGTTACCTCATTATTTTTTTGAAATATTTTTCTTTATTGACTTCAGGGAGCAAGGGAGAAAGAGAAACAGTGATGAGAATCATTGATTGGCTGCCTCCTGCTCACCCCCTATTGGGGATCCCTAGCCCACAACCCAGGCATGTGCCCTTGGCTGGAATTGAACCTGGGACCCTTCAGTCTGCAAACTGACGCTCTATTCACTGAGCCAAGCTGGCTATGGCTCTGTTACCTTATTTTAGATGTATTTTTGAAGAGTTGAATACCGGTATTTCCCAGTTGTAACTCAAGTGAAGAATCTAGCAATCTTTTGATGGGTGAGAACTTTTGTATACAGTAATCTGAGCTTTAGCAGTAAGTAATAATTTAAAGATCAGTTGTGGGGAAGAACGGTGGTTACTTTTCCCTTTTTTTTTTTTGTACCAGGAAATTGCAAGATCCCCGGATCATGACTACTCTCAGTGTCCTCCTGGGATTTGATCTGGGCAGTATGGATGATGAGGATGAAGTTGCTACACCTCCACCACCACCTCCTCCCAAAAAGGAGACCAAACCAGAGCCGATGGAAGAGGATCTTCCAGAGAACAAGAAGCAGGTCTCGTTTTTCCTCTCATTGCTCTCAAATAATCGTAAACAGCCAGTCAACGTAGGTGTGTCAGGTGGGAACGTCTATAGACCTTAGGTGGCTGTATGTTTTGAGTGCTTAGTGTGTGCTAAGCTTAAAGTTGTTGGTCTCTCTCTCTCTCTCTCTCTCTCTCAAAACAATTATTTATTTTTTAAATATATTTTATTGATTTTTTACAGAGTGGAAGAGAGAGGGACAGAGAGCTAGAAACATCGATGAGAGAATCATCGATCAGCTGCCTCTTGCATAACCCCTACTGGGGATATGCCTGCAACCAAGGTACATAACCTTGACCGGAATCGAACCTGGGACCTTTTGGTTCGCAGCCCGACGCTCTATTCACTGAGCCAAACCAGTTTCGGCTTTTCTTTTTTTTTTTTTTTTTTTTTTTTCTTTTTTTTTTTTTTTTTTGTATTTATTGATTTTAGAGAGGAAAGTAGAGAGAGATAGAAAAACCAATGATGAGAGAGAACCACTGATTGGCTGTCTCTTGCACCAAGTCCGCAACCTGGGCATGTGCCCTTGGCCAGAATTGAACCTGGGACCCTTCAGGCCACAGGCCAGCACTATCCACTGAGCCAAACTGGCGAGGGCTAAAGTGGTGGATCTCTTAAAAAGTACAAGTGATTTCATAGGAATCGTGTATCTCTTAAGACTGTGGCAGTGGGAGCTCGCTACCCTTTCATAGCCTACGACCACTGTGGTTCTGCCGGTTTGAGTGTTGACCAGGGCAGGCCGGCGAGGTTGTGAGTGATCCTTATCCTTGCCATGATCCAGAAGAACGTTGTCTCTGTCAATCCTTAGGCTTCTGCTTCTTTGTTCTGGTTGAAACAGAGTGTGTAATTAAAGGTTGTCCACTTAGCTGCACTGTCTTCAGAGCAGGAGGCAAGTGCTTAAGTGATTTTATTTCCCTTCTTGTAAATGAGAACAGCAGGTTGTTGCCAGATTTAGCATCTTCCAGTGGGTAAGCATTGGTTGTTTGAGGTGTCTCAGAGCTGGAAAAAGGCCCTACAGAGTGGGTGGTAGTGAGCTATACTGAAGACTCCTGCCACCAGCACAGCCCTTTCTAATCCTCTCACCACCCCATCTGCTGCTGTTTCCGACAACTGAGCCCTGAGGCAGCCACACACACAAACTGAACTTGGTGCGGCCTCTCGCAGTCCAACCTGATACACACTGCTGTCCTCTTTGAAGGTGATTCAAGTTGAACGGCTTTCCTCTTCCCTGAAGAGGCCCTCTGTTTTCTGACAAAGATCCGGGATCGTAGGTGGAAAAGGGACTTTCAGAGGAAGCAGAGATGAAACTAACCTGTCATTTGAACGGCTAGAACTTCACTGTTTCAAACCTGTAGCTGGCTGATGAGGCCTTGGGTGGGAAGAGCCTGCTTCCATAGGCATGATAGTAGCAGCTGCTCTCAGTGCCTGGGGCGTGTCACAGGCTCTCGCTGTTAGCCGTCTTGGTTAGATTTGCTACACACTGACTTCTTTCATACCTCATGCAGGCCCTGAAAGAAAAGGAATTGGGAAATGAGGCCTACAAGAAGAAAGACTTTGACACCGCCTTGAAGCACTATGACAGAGCCAAGGACCTGGACCCCACCAACATGACTTACATGACCAATCAAGCAGGTGAGGCCCAGGAAGAGGGGCAAGTGAGTTGTTAGGTGGACTCAGGGAGAGGCAAGGGCTGACTTTTCCTTCTTAACCCTCCTGCCTGGCAGCTGTGTACTTCGAAAAGGGCGACTACAGCAAATGCCGGGAGCTTTGTGAGAAGGCCATTGAAGTGGGCCGAGAAAACCGGGAAGACTATCGACAGATCGCCAGGTACGCTTGACCTTCTGGAGTGCCTTGAGTGGTTCAGAGGTTTGAATGTCCACGTTTTAAATGGACTCCATGGGGAGAAGGGCTGCTGGCCATGGAACGTGTGGTCTGTTGTCCAATATCTGTCAGCACAGGCGGAAAGGAGGCCGAGGGAGAGAAGACAAAAGGTGCTGAGGGGCACGGTGCCTGAGCAGTGGGCTTGTTTCTATTGTACATGCGTGTTCTCTGCAGGGGCTGGCTTTGTGTCTGCTCTCCCCTTAGCACATTCTTTTTCCTCGTGTCTTTGTCAGAGCTTACGCACGGATTGGCAATTCCTACTTCAAAGAAGAAAAATACAAGGATGCCATCCATTTCTACAACAAGTCTCTGGCAGAGCACCGAACACCAGATGTGCTCAAGAAATGCCAGCAGGTGGGTGGGGAAGAAGAGCTGTTTTGTTATCTCTTAACCTGTTGTTATTTTATGTATTGTCACTTAATAATGAACCTTAATTTTTTTAAGTAGTGTCTCTAGTCATATTATATGATGCTGCCCTATTAATAATATATAACTTATTATTTTTCTTATATACCCCAAGTGTTGGGTATTATGCCAGTTGTCATAAATTATGTAGGAGGGAGACCGTATTCACAAAAATACTAGTCAACAATTACTCGTGCTATTAACACGTGCACCATTTTCCTATGGGGCGTATGTTTATATCAAGTGTATGTATCTGTTTCACAGCAAACTTTGAAAATGAGGCTATAAAATTCTTAAAAATTAAATCTTGCCAGCAGTACACTTTGAAAATTAAAATTCTAACCTGGCTTTTTAAGCCCAATATTTATGTTTCTAAGAATTTAAGTGACTCTTCCAAGAATTATGTTTTCTCAGGCAGAGAAAATCTTAAAGGAGCAAGAGCGGCTGGCCTACATAAACCCTGACCTGGCTTTGGAGGAGAAGAACAAAGGCAATGAATGTTTCCAGAAAGGTATCTGCAGCCCGGATGGTGGCCCTTCGGCTGAGGGTGGTGTGGACGTGCCTCTGGGCCTCCGCTGACTGCAGGGAAATATGCCCTGGTGGGGGAGGTGGCTGTGTGCATTTTTTTGTTTCTCTTGTCCTCATTCAGGGGACTATCCCCAAGCCATGAAGCATTATACAGAAGCTATCAAACGGAACCCAAAAGATGCCAAATTGTACAGCAATCGAGCTGCCTGCTACACCAAACTCCTGGAGTTTCAGCTGGCACTCAAGGTAAGAGGGTCTCTGGAGTGGCCATTTTTGTGACCTGAATATAGCAATGTATGTCATCTTTTCACGCTTTTCATCAACATCAGCTGCTTCTTGTTTTGATTATAGATTCAAGATGGTGGTGGTGCATGTGTGAGGTTTGTGAATACAGGGTTGGGCAAAAGTAAGTTTACAGTTGTGAGTATGCGAAACACAATTCTTGTATTATTTATTAATTACTGTATTATTCTCAACTGTTAACCTGCTTTTGCCCATCCCCTAAGGACCTCTTTCTTTTCGGTCCTGCCCGTGTTGTTAGTGATTGGGAGAATTTGGGGAAGTGGATCCTTTCCCACCTAACCTGGCCTGATCTTTTATCTCCCCATAATCCTTCCTCACATTTATTTTTGTTTCGTTTTGCCCTTTTTTTTTTTTTTTTTTTTTTTTTTTTTAACATGTTGAGTGTACAATTTAGTCGCATCAAGTAGATTCATATTGTTGTGCAGCCTTCACCACCATCCATTACCAACCTTCTATCCTCCCAAACTGAAATTCTGCATCCTCCCCATTGTCCTTCCCCGGGTCCTGGCAGTCACTGTTCTACGGTCTATGAATTGGCCGTGTAACTGGAACCAAACAGTATTTGTTGTTTGTGTCTGGTTTATTTCACTTAGCATCATGTCTCCAAGGTTCATGTTATAGCATCTCTGTCCTCTTTAAGGCTGAACACTGTTTCATTGTAAGCATATGCCACCTTTTGTTTATCCATTTATCTGTTGACACACGTTTCCATTTTTGGCTATTGTGAGTAATGCTCTCATGAATATGAGTGTACACTATCTCTGTTCAAGCTCCTAGTTTCAGTTCTTTCGTATTTAACAGCGGAAGTGCTGGATCATAGGATGGTTCTTTGTTTTGTGTGTTTTTAGAACGATCATATTTTCCACAGCAGCTTTACCATTCTTGACTTTTTGATGGTTAGCTGAGCAGGTCTGCTGTTGTCAGGCACGTTGAGAATAGCTATTTGAATATGTTCGCCACTTGGAGCAATTACTCCCCATTGCTGTCTTGACAGAACTGCTCTGTGCCTCTTGGCTATTTGTAACTTCTCTAGGAGACAGTCTGGGAACATTTGGTGGACAGGTGAAAAATGTGGTCTGTCTGGATACACCCGAGTCCATGATGGTTTGGTTTTGCTGCCATTATCTTCTGGATCTGTGCTGATAGAGCAGCACCTGTGAGGTGGCGCAGCCCTTCCCCCCTCGGGCAGACCGAGGGGAAGGATGAACGGATTTACTTCTGATTTTAAAGTTTCTTGGTGAAAGAGGAGGAATTAAACCTAGCTGTGCAAACTACACTGTGTGGCACAACCTATTTTACATAATTTTATATTTTGGAGATGTTTCAAACAAAAATACACAGAATACCTGTGTATTCTTCACCTATATTCAACAATAAGTATTGATACATTTTTGCTGACCCATTTGTAAAAGGAAATTTGTAAAAATTGCATTTTGCCAGTTGACCTCCAAATTCTTGACCTATCCATTGTTTCTCCTGAAATGACTTTCCCCATCCAGCCACAATATTATTGGCACCTGGTGATAACGAAACTAAGGCTTCAGTGCCATCTGCTCTGTATCTATATTCAAATTTGTCTATTTGTCTGAAAATACATTTTTAAGTTTTAGTTTCTAAACCCCAACCTTTTCATCTGGTTGTCATGTTCTCTTTAGTTTCTCAAACTAGAAGCTTCCCCACTTTTGGATTTTTGCTTCTTTTTGTATGTGTATTTTTTGTTTTGCTTTTTAATCCTCACCTGAGGATATTTTTTCCATTGATTTTTATTTCTTTATTTTTGTTGATTTCAGAGAGGAAGGGAGAGGGCTAGAGAGAGAGAAACATCAATGCTGAGAGAGAACCCTTGATTGGCTGCCTCCTGCACATCCCACACTGGGGCTGGAGCCTGCAACCTGGGCATATGCCCTGACCAGGAATCAAACCGTGACCTCGTGGTTCAGAGGTCAACGTTCAACCACTGATTCACACCAGCTGGGCCCATTGATTTTTTTTTTATTTTTTTTTTTTGGGGGGGGGGAGGGTGGGCAGAGAGAAACAGTGATGTGTGAGAGAGAGAGACAGCGATTAGCTGCCTCCCACACACATCTCAACCAGGATCAGGGAGTGAACCTGCAACCCAGATACATGCCTTAACTGGGAATTGAACTCATTACCCTTTGGTGCATGGCTGACACACTAACCATTGAAACAGCCAGGGCTGTGTGTGTGTGTGTGTGTGTGTGTGTGTGTGTTTAGTCATCAGCCTTTTGAAAAGTCCAGGCCACTTGGATAGGATGGTCCCTAACCTGGAGTTGTTCCTTTCGGTGTTGCTTACTGACTCCTCTAACCTCCTTTTGCTGTGGCCGCTGATAAATCCACCCAGTTGCTGGGTTTAATAGGAGCACTGGAAGCAAAAGTAGAATCCTTTGTAAGGGCTCTGCATGATGGGTCAGTTTTCACTACAAAGGAGCAGTCTGCCGTGAAGCAGCTCATGGGAGGGAATGAGCCTAATTCCTCTGCCTCTTCTTCCTAGGACTGTGAGGAATGTATCCAGCTGGAGCCATCCTTCAGTAAGTGCCTTTATGCTGCCTCTGCCCATCCTGTTGTCCTGGGCAAAGATTGGAAGGCAAGAGTGCCTGTTTGTCCTCGCAGCTGTAGCATTTAGCAGCTGGCATCCCGGGTGGGAGAAGCAGCCTGGGAGCTGCATTTGGATAAGGCCTCACCCTTCCCGTTTCTGTCTGCAGTTAAGGGCTACACACGGAAAGCAGCCGCCCTAGAAGCAATGAAGGACTACACAAAAGCTATGGACGTCTACCAGAAGGCACTGGAGCTGGACTCCAACTGTAAGGTGGGCTCTTCCGGCTCTCCCTGCCCCCGCTTCTCCTCGTGGTCCTTCACTGACCCTTGACTCTCACCTGAGTGTGTGTGTGTGTGTGTGTGTGTGTGTGTGTGTGTGTGTTGCCTCTCATCTTGGACCTCCTGAAGCAGTGAGGTAGGTTGTGCTAACACCCTTCCCCTTGGCTCTGCTGGAGTGCAGGAGGCAGCAGATGGTTATCAGCGCTGCATGATGGCCCAGTACAACCGACACGACAGCCCCGAAGATGTGAAGCGACGGGCCATGGCCGACCCTGAGGTGCAGCAGATCATGAGCGACCCAGCCATGCGGCTCATCCTGGAGCAGATGCAGAAGGACCCTCAGGCACTTAGCGAGTGAGTGGAGTCGGGAAGGTGGCCTTGCAGGATAAACCAGTGGCAGTGCGTGAGGTGGGACGCATGTGATCAGCCTGAGTAGGGTATTTATTGTGTGATTCTTCCTTGAAGTTCTAAAAGTTGGCAGTTTGAAGGTGGACTGGAATGTGAGTCGTGGTAGCTTAAATCGTTCATTGAAAAGACCAATTTTGCTGGGACGAATGGTCTCCGTTTAAAGCTATCCCATAAAGTGGAGCAGCTGGTCGTTCTGACTGCATAGCAGTGAAGCCTCTGCCTTTCTCCTGCTAGAACTTGTCCCTAACCGTCTCCCGTTGGTGCCTCCTAGGGGTGTGCCCTGGGGCTGCTCCAAGAACAAGTAAGACCTCTCTTACACTAAGTCTCATTTCAAGCTTTGCCTCTTCCTCCTTAGACACTTGAAGAATCCTGTAATAGCACAGAAGATCCAGAAGCTGATGGATGTGGGCCTGATCGCTATTCGGTGATGACTTGCTCATCATCCCTCTTCCCTCTGTCCTCGTGTGGAAAGAGGAGCTGGACCACAGCAAGCAGCACGGAGCAGAAGGGAGAGAAGGGGAAGCCAGCAGCTTCTCTATATTTATACAGCCCTGTGTGGAAGACAGAGACTCTGCCCACGTTCCTCTGTAGCCGCCGCCTCGGGACCTCCCAGCAACGCATGGTCCCTTCCGCTGCCCTCGAGTTTCATGTCTCTGTCCCCTGTTCCCAGCCGCTGTCTCAGCTGCTCATAGTTGGTTATTTTTTATTTGGGGCAGTGGGCATGAAGGGGAAGGGGAGGGTATTTTTCCCGACCTCAGGTCCCAACTGTCTTCACGTTGTTAACTCCGAGTTTCCTTCTCCAATAAAACAAGCCAGTCAGGCATGGTTATACCTTGTGGTGTCCGTGAGTCATTTTTCTGCCAAAAGACTTTAAAGTGGGCCCTGGCGGGGCAGCTCAGTTGGTTAGAGCATCATCCTGATGGACCAAGATGGCAGGTTTGATCCCTGGTCGGGACACATACAAGAATCAACCAATGAGCCCTGGCCTGTTGGGCTCTGGATAGTGTTGGCCTTTGGACTGAAGGGCCCCAAGTTCAATTCTAGTTAAGGGCACATGCTCAGGTTGTGAGCTCAATCCCCAGTAGGGGGCATGCAGGAGGCAGTAGATCTGATTCTCATCATTAATGTTTCTCCCTCTTCCTCTCTGAAATAAAAATATATTGAAAAAATAAAAGAACCTATCTTCTATACTAATAAAAGGGTAATATGCTAATTAAGCCAAGAGACCTTGCGGGCAAAGCCATGGTTGCTGGGCCAAGGCAGAGGCGGTTAGGGGCAATCAGGCCAGGACGGGAGGGCAGTTGGGAGTGATCAGATCAGCGAGGGGGGGGCGGTTTGAATGGTAGCAGTTGGGCAGTGAGGCGGTTCAGCTGGGGGATGAGCAGGCCAGTGAGGGGGGGTCAGTTGGGGGCTGGCAGGTAGGCAGTTAGGAGTCTGCTGTCCTGGGTTGTGAGAAGGCTGTCCGACTATCGTTTTAGGCCCAATCCTACATTAGGCCTAAATTGGACATGTACCAGAATGGAGAGAGGGTGCAGGCCAGGTTGAGGGACAGTTACCACCCCTTCTTCCCCCCCCCCCACCCCAATTTCATGTACCAGGCCACTAGTGGATAAATAAGTGGAACAATAAATCAACATCTAAGAACAATCATTAAAAGTCTTTAAGTGGCTGTTCTCCAGGGGCCAACCTGGATGGGGAGAGGTGTCTGAATTGACAGGACCAGGGCCTTTTCTAACGGGTCTGTGAGCTCACCTTGGTCCCGCTGCTTTGCCGAGATGCTCGCTAGGTGGCGCTGTCCCTCAGCGAACAGCTGAAAGCGAGCTTGGAGTCACCCTCCTCAGGGGTCAGGTTCAGACAAACTCAGAAGCTGTAGGTTCTTCACACTCTTCATCTCAAAACCAGACGCCAGCTCCACCCAGAGAACATGATTCCACCGAGAACCGAACTGCTTCCATTGCAGGAAAGGCTCTGGAGAGATCAGATCTGTGAGCAGCTGCAGGGTTTAAGTTTTGCTTTTCGTTTTTTATGTTTGTATTGGTTTTAGGGACAGAAGGGAGAGGGGGAGAGGGATAGTAACATCAATGATGTGTCCAGCTAGCATGGCTCGATGGTTAAGCATCAACCTATAAATGAGGAGGTTCAATTCCTGATCAGGGCTTGATCCCCGGTAGGGGGTGTGCAAGAGGCAGCCGATCCAAATAATTCTCATCATTAATGTTTCTTTTTTGGGGGGCGAGGGGGTTAAATGAGCTTTTATTAGGATATTGAAGCAATGTGTTCAAAGGCAGCTCTATGAAATAAGGATTTAAGTTAAGTCCCTAACTGCATGGGCAGGAAAACCACAGCAGGAGCTGAAGTGGGGAGCAATGTACCCTGTCTCCACGTCAACACATGCATGTGCACACACATGGGACACCCTCACATGTGCTCGGAGCTGGCTCTGTGTGCAGCTCACACATGACATCTGCCATCATTGAGGTTTCTAGCTCTCCCTCTTCCTCTCTGAAACCAATAAAAATATATTTAAAAAAATAACTCATGCCGAAACCAGTTTGGCTCAGTGGATAGAGCGTCAGCCTCCGGACTGAAGGGTCCCAGGTTCGATTCCGGTCAAGGGCATGTACCTTGGTGCAGGAGGCAGCTGATCGGTATTTCTCATCGATGTTTCTAACTCTATCCCTCTCTCTTCCTCTGAAAAAAAAAAAAATCAATAAAATATATTTTTTTAAAAGAAAAAAAAAACAGGTGGAGATGCACCTTTAAAAAAAAAAATAACTCAATGCTCTCAACTGGGTTTCAAATAGTAGGTTTTGATTACACTTGTCCATGGTCACAGCAAACTCTCTCTTAAACCCTCTTGGCCTGGGACTGCTTCTGGGCAGGAGTAAAACTTCCTCTTTTGCTCCAAGAGTAGCTTTCTGGGCTAGGAACCGCTGAGGCCAGCAGCTGGCTGTACTTCCTGCTGCCTGACTTTGCATAAACTGGCTTTCCCCTGGGAGTCCCCGCGGCCCCTTCTCCCCCGTCCCTACCTGGGTGGCAGCTCAAAACGCCTGTCCACAGGGAGTCTGCATCTTGGGTGCTCCTCTCCTTGCAGGTGCAGCTTCCTCCAGCCCTCAGTCAGAGAGGCCGAGTTCCGGCAGCACAGCCGGCTCTCCCAGGGCAGGGCTGGGCGGGAAGAGGCTGGGCCAGGATCACCTGAGATCACCTTTAAGGAGGCGCTGACCTGAGTGAGCCTCCGGGTACTGGTGGGAGGAGGAGCTGACAGGTGTGAGCACCTGGGTGGAGAGGTTCTGAATGATGGGCCAGCTGTCCAGCTGTTTCCCAGAGCAGCTCTGAGATGGACAAGTGTGGAAACAGGCCCTTACTCGGGAAAGGAAAGGCTTCAGGAAGCTGTTTTCCCTCAGGCCTTCTTGAGATGCCCTCCTGGGGATAAGGGACATTGGGCCTTGAGCTGATTGGACCTGCCAGGTCCTAAACCTGGATCCAGTCCTTTCAATTCCGTGGCTCTCCTCGGCACCCGGGGGTGTTCCATAGCCCACAGCACCCACCCCCGATGGTGGCCCTAGGGAGGAAGCACAGGGAGAAGGGGTGGGGAAGGAGGCTCGCACCCAGCCCTCCACCTGCAGCCCCAGTCCCTCGCAGGCAGGGGCCTAGCCGGGAGCACGCATTGATGGCTTCTCTTGAACTGAGCAACCCTCCCGAGAGAGGACCCTTCTGTGGCGCTGGGCCCACCAGCCTCACCCTGGCTTCCTGTGCGCGCCGAGCAAGGCGGGGCCCCTGTGGCCCGCAGCAGCGGCTGGCAGTTTGCTTCCTGAACCCAGAGCCCCAGCCCGCCCTGGGGAGGGGCTGAGCCCGCCCCGCTCAGAGGCCAGGGCTGCCCTCTGAAGGAAGCTCCAAAGAGAAAGCGGAGGAGACGCAGGCGCCAGGCTCTGCAGGTGCTGGGCTGAGGCCGGGACTGGCTTGCACTCTGACCCTCCGCCTGCAGCCGCAGCTGCTTGCAGGCCAGGTAAGATGGGCCCTTCTCCTCCGGCCTCCTCCGCCCTGGTCCGGTCCCACGGCCTCCTCCGGCGCAGCCCGCACTTCCCGCTGCCTGGAGAGGCCTCGCTGGGCTGGCCCGCTCGGAGCTCGCCTCTGGGCCGGGATTGGCGCTATTCTCTGACCTGGGGCACCGCCATGCCCAGGGTGGCAGCTTGCCCGCGTGGGCCTGGGGTGAGCTGTGATCTGGGGAAGCAAATGGAGGTTGTGCCCAGCTCTGCCATCAAGCAGGGTGCTCTTGAGTGAGCCCCCTCTTTCTTTTTGCTGGGCCTCATCTTCCATCTGTAAGATGGGAGAGGGCCGAACAGCATGGTCTCCGAGGCTGCTTGCAGCTTAGCCCCGGTGATGAGGAGAAGGTCTGAGGTTCGCCTGGAACCACTCAGCACTCCGTGTCTCCCTGCTGCCGCCGCCGCAGGGTCCTGGCCTGCGGGTCTGCTCTGCCCCCCCTCTCCCACCCCCACCCCCGTCCGGGGCACCCCGGGGCCTCTTCCCCTCGCACCCAGGCAGCCTCCCAGGCCCGGCGCCTTGCCCAGCTGCTTCCTCCGCCCACCGCAGACCGCCCAGCATGGCGGGCATGAAGACGGCCACGGGGGACTACATCGACGCGTCCTGGGAGCTGCGCGTGTTTGTGGGCGAGGAGGACCCCGAGGCGGAGGCGGTGACCCTCCGGGTGACCGGGGAGTCGCACATCGGCGGGGTGATCCTGAAGATTGTGGAGCAGATCAGTGAGTGCCGCCCGCCGCCCTCGGACCCGGGGCTCCCCTGGCCCGGCCCCCGCCCGGCCCCCCGCACGGCCCCGACAGATAACCGAGTCACCCTGACTCAGGCTCCGGCTTAATCATTCGGTCCCAAAAAAGACATTTCCCCCACTTCCCCTCTCCCGGCCTCCCCTCCTCCCTCGCTCCCTCCCACTCCAGCGTGCCAAGGCCCCGAGGGGCAGGCTGGCTTGGAGGCCAGAGGGGCCTCGCCCGCCCGGAGGGCCTGAGGGAGGCGACCCTGGGCTCCGCTCCCACACCCCCTCCCCGGGCGGAAGCGCTGGGGCTGGTGAAGGCCCAGCCCGGTGGGAAGGCCCTGCCCCCACAGGAAGTTGCAGCAGAGCAGCCTGTGGTATCGGCATTGGAAGGAGCAGGGCAGTGACATGCCATCACCTTTCCCTGCGGGGCGCCCGCTGCCCCTTCCTGGCACCCCGATAGCCAGAGCTGGACAGCAGCCTGTGAGCGCCCGGCCCGGGCCTGTGGCCTGCGGGAGGGGTGGCCTCTGCAGACCCGGCCGCCACGTGCTCCCGGGAGGGAAGTGGGCGGGCAGGCCGGCCCCAGGGCGGCTCGGCCAAAAGGTGGTGAGGGCGCTGCCAGGGGGCAGGGCCCAAGGAGGCTGCGGAAGCAAACGCTGGGAGCCGGGACCCTCAGGAGAGGGCCGCGGGCGTGGCGGAGAGCCAGGGCTGAGCACTGAGCACTTGGCTGGCCTCAGGGCACAGCCCCTGGCATCGCAAGAGGCTAAACAGAGAGACAGACAGACGAGAGCCACTCCTCCACCCACCGCAGGGCTCCCCGAGCCAGTCCCTTAGCTCCGAGCCCTGCAGGGGGGCTTGGTGCCCCCCTCCTATGCCCGCTCATTTCCTAGCCCCGTGGTCGGCAAACTGCAGCTCGTGAGCCACACGCGGCTCTTTGGCCCCTTGAGTGTGGCTCTTCCACAAAACACCACGGCCTGGGCGAGTCTATGTTGAAGCAGTGGCGTTAGAAGAAGTTTAAGTTTAAAAAATGTGGCTCTCCGAAGAGATTTCACTCGTTGTCCTGTGCATACTTGGCTCTGTGGACTGAGGAGTTTGCCACCGCTGC